TGGGATTTCTGGACATTTAGAGGTCCAGAGAAAGAGTGTATCACAGAAGCCAGAGCAGAGTGTTTCAAAGAGGAGCAACAGCTTGCTGCATGAGCCTGCAAGATAAGATAGGACACAGAATTGATCACGGGGTTGGGCAGACATGCAGGTCTGCTGTGCATCTGACTCTGCCGTCCTCTGAGAGTGCGGGGGCTGGTGAGCAGCAGGAAGGGGCAGCAGGGCCCAGCAGGCAATGACTGTCGACTATGCAGAGATGGGCGGTGGCCAAGAAGTCACGTGCAGTGGGAGCCCTGCGCTTGTTCGCTTGTTCGTAGGCTGAGCCCAGCTGCAAGTGGTCACAGTACACTTGATTGATGATGGCAGAAGTCACCGATGATGGAGGGTCTCTTGCGTATCAGACATTTACGTTTCATTATAGTAACTTGCCTGTCAATATCCTTTGCTCATTTCATTGTTCATCTTTTTCTTGCTGATTTGTACAAGTTCTTTTTATATTCTGAATACCAATCCTTTAGTTATCCCTTTTGTTTAGTTAACCAAGAATGTTTCAATGAGGGACTACAAGATTATAACATTGCATTTTATTGAACCTTTTCTGTGTTTAGATATGGTTAGAAGCACAAATACATTCTGTTATGCTATAATTGCCCACAGTATTGAAAAAGGTACCTGCTGTCCCACGGCTTGTAGCCTGGGAGCAGCACCAGACAGCCTCCGATGTCTGCCAGGAACGAAACTGCCAGCACTCAAAAGGTGCTCTGTCAATGTCTGTCGTGGGTGTGGGTGCCAACATCGCCAACTGCGCCAGTCACGCAACAAGCCCGCCCCACTTGAGCAGCTCCTCATACAATGCAGTCCTTGTTTGAAAAATACAAGTCCAAGCCTAAAGGCAGGCTTTTTTGGTTTTGAGGGTTTTAAAAATTTTTTAATATTTTGAGGTTTGAATCTTCTAGTCTTTTTTTCCCCCTCTCTTTTTTGTTTTTTAGAGACAGAGTCTCCCTCTATCGCTCAGACTAGAGAGCAGTAGAGTAGTCCTAGCTCACAGGAGCCTAGAACTCCTGCTGGGCTCAAGCAATCCTCCTGCCTCAGCCTCCCCCAACCCCCAGCAAGGACTACTACCACCAGGCCAGATGCTTTTTTTGTAGATGGGATGGGGATCTCCCACCGCCCAAGAGCTCAGGCTGCTCTTGAAGGCCTGGCCTCAAGGGGGGTTGGGGGGGCTGGGCCTCCCAAAGCAGAGATCAACCCTGTGAATCACTGTGCCCCACCCTATTTCATGTGTTTGAGTCATATCTTCAAATACCTAAATTTGCTTTGTTATGGTTCAGTAAATAAAGGACAAAAATGTCAGTTATCAATCTACATTTTTTTCCCTTCTCCCTAGAGGTTTCTAGACACAAGAGTCCTAAAGAAAATCTATGATTGATAATAATAATTGAGCAAAACTTGGGAGATCAACCATGTGGAACATTAGCATTTGGGAATAGATCCCATCCTGTCCACAATTCTCATGAGACATATTTGGGAACCCATCACCCTACACAGCACATTGGTCTATTCTTTTTTTTTTTTTTTGAGTCAGAGCCTCAAGGTGTCACCCTGGGTAGAATGCCGTGGCATCACAGCTCACAGCAATCTCCAACTCCTGGGCTCAAGTGAGTCTCCTGCCTCAGCCTCCCAAGTAGCTGGGAACACAGGCACCCGCCACAACACCCGGCTATTTTTTTTTTTTTGGTTGCAGCCATCATAGTTGTTTGGTGGGCCCGGGCTAGATTCAAACCTGCCACCTTAGGTGTATGTGGCTGGCGCCTTAGCTGCTTGAGCCGCAAGCGCTGAGCCGGCTATTTTTTTTGGTTGCAGCCGTCATTGTTATTTGGCAGCCCGGCCTGGTTCGGTGTATCCAGAACCTTAGGTGTATGTGGCTGGCACCTTAGCCACTTGAGCCACAGGCACCAAGCCAATTGGTCTATTCTTGGACAGCTACGTATGTATACACAAACTATATATAGTCCAAATGTGGGTCCTTGATCTGGGGGGGGGTGTCAAAGAATAAAACCACGAACCACTCAAGTGGGCAAAAGGAGTTTATTGATACAAAAACTGATAAGCAAAAGAAGGGCGACAGGATATCTGGCATCAGAGCGAGCTAAATGGGCAGCTCATTTTGGCCTTCAGTCTTCATTTCTGTATATTATCTATCTCCCACCACACCATCCTGCAGGCTGGGGTATTTGGGGACGTAAGTCACAATTGGCCAGAGGTCTCTGGGCAGAAAATACTAAAATTGGGAAAGGAGTGAGGTCCTAGTAGTCTTTATCCCAGGCAAGGCATTAAGGTGCGTCTCCTACTCCAGGAGGAAGTTACCAGATGATGTGGCCTGGAAAGGGCCTATTTGTGCCTCAGAGATGGGGTCAGACTGATTTCTGAGCTCACCCAGGCCTAGAAAATGCAGGTCCCTGTTCAGCTCCAAATAGAACCCTGTATCACAAATAATCCTAGAAAACTATAGTCACTTTAAATAAGGAAAGATGGATAGTAAGTATCCTACCATATAACTTTATAGTCCAAGCCCCTAAGACTCTTTTTGGCAAAATAAAATCCAAGGTTAAAAAAATATACCTCATGGTGGGTAGGAAACTAGGTCTGGATATTATTCTCAGCTCTGCCACAGGCATGTAGTCTGTCCTCGGGCAAGTTCCCCAGCTCGACTGAGTCTGTTTCACCTTCCCCAGATTGCAGCCTAAAGTCATCTTCCTCTCACTATTGTGGATGACAAGACACAAAGATGCTTATGTCCTTTTGCAAAATGGTGTGCCTGTCTTTTGAGAAGGCTGGAGGTCATTACCAGGGGATATGTCTTCAAGAGATAATTAGATTAAAACCAACAGGACGTGTGCTAAGAAAAATGATTAAATTATATAGTGAACAAAGCTAACAATGAGTTTACAGCCTATTGCTACTTTTTTTTTTTTTTTGCAGAGTTTCACTTTGTCGCCCTTGGTAGAGTGCCATGGCGTCACAGCTCACAGCAACCTCCAACTCCTTGGCTCAGGTGATTCTCTTGCCTCAGCCTCCGGAGTAGCTGGACTACAGGCGCTTGCCACAACGCCCGGCTATTTTTTTGGTTGCAGTTTGGCTGGGGCTGGGTTTGAACCCACCACCCTCGGTATATGGGGCTGGTGCCCTGCCCACTGAGCCACAGGCGCCACCCCCTTTTGCTACTCTTTCAAACAAAAAATACTGCTTAAAAATTACAGTATTTTTTTCTTGACCCATCTAATAGATTATAAACTCTGAGAGAAGGTATTCTATGTCTCATTCACATTTCCCATTCATTTAGTAACTGCTCACTGAATTGAAATACTTGCTGCTTTTCTGTCAATGTTTCTATTCTAGAGCATTTCCCAGCTCTGTGTCCATCTCTGTTGTACTCAGCAAATGTTTTGTTGTATGAATAGAGGCTGTGTCCTATGCATGTTCACACTGTTCCATAACAATTTCCCTTTGGTAAAGGTTAAGTTTCCAATTTCTTGCTTTATGAACTAATGCATCAGTATGCTTTCTGTGCATCACTGTTTCCTGCACATCTCATTACCTTAAAGTCTGTGATGGAGAATTTTGTAAAAGGAAAAGAGATAAACACAGGGAATAACAAATCGTACAAATTAAAGAAAATGTTAAGGTGACCAGATTTTAACATTGGTAAAGTGGGACACCATTGGGGGGGAGGGGCGGGCGGGGCCTGACAACGCAAACTTTGATAAGCAGTTCTTGATAATCAGTTCTCAGCAATTATTTGTTATTATTAAAGTTTAACATTATAAAATTAACAAAAATAATATAAAACTCATATCCTGGCGAAATAACCACAGGCAGCCAAAAACCATATATTCCCTTCCTGTTCTCCCGTGTTCCCTAGCTTGTCATGCATTCTTTCCAAAAATCGGGACTTTTTTAAAACGCCGCAGGACTCGGGACAAATTGTTAAAAATCGGGACTGTCCCGCCAAAAGCAGGATGTCTAGTCACCTTACTCTAGAGAAGGGGGGGGCTACTTGTTTGTTCCAGACAGTTTAGCTCCTTCTGAGATAATTGTCCTTGCCTAGAAGCAAGGGAGGGAGCCAGTCTCTTTCTGGCTTGCCCAGAAGGGGAGTAGGGGCCTTGCCCAGGAGGGGAGTAGGGAGTTCACATTAGCCTTTTCATTCCCAAATGGAGTTACAGGAACCTTTTCAGCAGCCGAAAACAGTATATTCCCTTCCCATTCTCCCGCTGTTCTCTAGCTTGTCGGGCATTCTTTTTAAAAATGTCGCGGGACGCGGGACAAATTGCTCAAAAGCGGGACGTCCGGTCACCTTAAAATATGTGGTTAGAAAATCCTCTACTCGTAAAGAAAAAATATTCACAAACATTAAAAGCAGTTATTGACAGTAAAATTGCTTTTCAAAATCAGAAACAAACTACTTATTTTAAAAAGACCACGACGTGGTCTTTTAAATTCCTTGAAACAAGGAATTTAATATTTCCTTACAGTCATCTCTTTCCCAGTAAAAAGCCTTTTTTTGGTTTCTGTCTGATCTTATGACTAACCTTTTAGAGTGGCGCTAGGTTAAGAGGCAGGTGTTCCTAATTAAGACAGAAAGCCGAATAATCTGTCCTGCTCGGTAAAGAAACCGGGGCTTGTTGCTTTGCAGATTTTTAACCGGAAGCCCTGCTCCCCGCAAGCGCCCAGTCCACACCAACCGCAGGCATCCAAGGCGCGCGGCCGCAGCAGACCTCCGGCCTCCGCTCCCACCTGTTCCGAAAGGCCTCCTCACCGAAGGCAAAGGCTGCCTGTCGCGAGGGTTCCGACAGCCAGACAGTCCCCAGCCGGCAGGAGAGATCTCTGCCCGCTCAGGAACCCGGACCCCAGGGCTCCGCGGAGAGCCCCGCCCCGGCTGCCCTGCGCAGGCCCCGCCCCGTCACCACCCTCTCGGCGGCGGCCCCAGCTAGGCCCCGCCCCCTGCCCTGCCGCTCCAGGCCGCGCCCCGCCCCCTCAGTGCGCGCTCCGCTCGGCAGCTTGTGCGACGCGGCGGCGCTGCTCTCACTCCTTTGTGTCCGGGCGGCGGCGGTCTCTCAGGTCCTCACTCGCGCGTCCTCCCGGGCCGCTAGCTTCGCACTCTCCGGTGACGGACCATGTCGGCTGCGGGAGCGGGCGCGGGCGTGGAGGCGGGCTTCTCCAGTGAGGAGCTGTTGTCGCTTCGCTTCCCGCTGCACCGCGCCTGCCGCGATGGGGACCTGGCCACCCTCTGCTCGCTGCTGCAGCAGGCGCCGCGCGCCCACCTGGCCGCCGAGGACTCCTTCTATGGCTGGACGCCCGTGCACTGGGCCGCGCACTTTGGCAAGGTGGGCGCGGGCACTTTAAGGCGCCATTTTCGGTGGCTCTTCCGTAGAGGGTCGGGAAGGCGGGCGCTGGGGGGTGCGAGGCGTGCCGGGAGCGCGGGGCGGAAGCGGGGTCGGCGCCTCTGAGGCCGTGGAGGTTTTAAAGCGCATGTGCGGCTGCGAGCGATCGCGGCCTGGGGTGGGCGCGGGGCGTGCTGGGAACGTGGGGCGGAAGCTGGGTGGCCGGCCAACGGGGCCTAAAGCGCATGTGCATGGAGAGTCTTGCGCCGGCTGGCGCGCGTTTTCCGCGAGGCGGGCCCTGGAGACGAGGCGCCCTCCGGTCCGGCCGGCTGGCGCCTCAGGTGGATCTTTGGGGAGGACGGTGAGGAGCGGCGCGGTTCTGCAAGGGAGCCCCGGGGTAGGGCCGAGCGGGACGCGCTGACGGTCCTCCCGCCTCTGCCCCGAGGCGCTTCGCTTTTAGATTAGAAGTTTGGAGGTGATTTCAGTCGTGCACTGATTGAGCTAATTAGAGGGGGGGTACCCTGGCCGTCGTGCAAACTGAATAGAAGCTTTTTCCTGTTTTTAGGACGTAGAAAGTCACGTTTGTTTTTAAAACTTTTTGCTTGGGCTCGGCGCCAGCCACATACACCTAAGGTGGCGGGTTCGAATCCCCAGCCCGGGCCCGCCAAACAACAATAATGGCTGCAACGAAAAAAAAAGTAGCCGGGCGCTGTGGCGGG